AGCTATCACAAATCACGTTTTTGTGTACTGGTTTCACAAAACACTATGTACCGTGTGAGGAGGAATAATCACCCGAAGGAGAACATGGGAATAACTGTCATCAGATTGAACCAGTATGTAAGATTTTTGTAAAACTGGTATGTATTTGAATATTTTGGCTAGATTGCGTAGTATTCAATATTCCGATAAACTAGATAAATCATGGCAAAAACACCAAATAGTATATGGAGAAACAAAACAGTCAGTCGTGATTCTGTAGTTCTTGTCTTTTTTTGGAGTCGCTATATTTAGGATTTCGCTACTAATCGAACATCTGAGTTTTTAGCATGGCAAAACAAACACTCGAGATGGCAAATTATGTTGCGCGAGGATGACAGTTTCATTTAACAAGCATGACAAATCCTTGGCAAGTTCAGTTCTTTGTCAGGGATTGCCATGCTTTAGTAAAGAAAGTTGTCATCCTGACGACAAAATGATTTGCCATAAAAAACATTCGAGTTGTCATGCTTAAAAATCTGACAACAGAAGCATTGATTGGATAGTAATGGATAAAATCTCTTCTGTTTGTATTTCTGTAGCATGAAATAAACAGGTGTGTCAATATGACACTCCAAGAATAGTATACCATTGTAAGAACAGGAGGCTGCGCTGGACGATGGCACAACCGGCGTCGGTGTAACCACATGTTTATTCACACTAATGGTTTGCTGTTATGGTGAAGGTAAAGCGGGACAAATTAAAGCAGGTAATTCATGACCAACAGTGAGTTACAAACAGCAGATCTTACCTACTTCGGCCATGTTCCATTATCATCTTGCTTCCCACCTTCCGTAATCTCCCATGTCCATGTGAGTTAGTTACATCCAACTGGAATATTTCATCACCCAAATTCGTTTGGTTTTGGCTTCCATATGTTGCCAAGGGTTGAACTCATCTATAATAGGTTTGAACTTTCAGTTTCAATAATTTAAGTCAACTGATGTAAATGTCGGCAATGACATTAGTGTATATCATATCCATATCACGGATTACTAGACGTGCACATCTTATCCATACAATAATTTACAACAACATCGAGCCAGCATCTGGATATAGTTTAAATAAAATCAAAGGTCTCAGTTAGCACACGTATGAAGGCCTATGCTCCAATGTGATCTGATGATATTTATATTCTTGGTAATGATAAATTGCACTATATATACATAATCTTGGAGAGTTCATGTTTGTTTTTGCTTTGAAACGAAAACAATAAGATAGGTGGGGGGGAGGGGGTCGGCTCACGGAAAGCTATCGCAAATCACATTTTTATGTACTGGTTTCACAAAAAACTGTGTACTGTGAGAGGAGGAATAATCACCAAATGGAGAACATGGGAATAACTGTCATCAGATTGAACTAGTATGTAAGATTTTTGTAATACTGGTATGTATCTGAATATTTTGGCTAGATTGCATAGTATTCCATATTTTGAACGTGATGCTTTATGATCCGATAAACTAGGTAAGGCATGGCAAAAACACCAAATAGTATATGGAGAAACAAAACAGTCAGTCATGTTTCTGTAGTTCTTGTCGTTTCCTGGAGTCGATATATTAAGGATTTCGCTACAAATCGAACGTCGGAGTTTTTAGCATGGCAAAACAAACACTCGAGATGGTAAATTATGTTGCGCGAGGATGACAGTTCCATTTAACAAGCATGAAAAATCCGTGTCAAGTTCAGTTTTTTGTCAGGGATTGCCATGCTTATTAAAGAAAATTGTCATCCTGATGACAAAATGATTTCCCATAAAAACATTTGATTTGTCATGTTTAAAAATCTGACAGCAGAAGCATTGATGTATATTACCAATTGATTGGATAGTAATGGATAAAATCTCTTCTGTTTGTATTTCGGTAGCATGAAATAAATAAGTGTGTCAATATGACACTCCAAGCATAGTATACCATTGTAAGAACAGGAGGTGGCGCTGGACGATTGCACAACCGGCGTCGGTGTAATGGCTCAGTGGAGGCGAGGATGGCGGTGCAGCCGTGCAGAACGTTGGGAGGCTGCGAAGGCGGAACCGCGGAAGACGAGGCAGTGGCGCAAAGCCTGCACCTATTCGACTGAGCTGGGCTGGCCGTATGAGACTTGAGTCATTTTTTTGGTTATATTTGAGTGGTTTGTAGAATGATAGAAATAGGTGGGCCGTCCCCGGCCGAAGCCAGCCAACGCCGCGTCCTGCGTGCTGGCCTTCATGGGCCATAGGCCCACTAACACTTGACAGCTTTTTGCAATAATTGTTTCTATTTTTCTTATTTACAGGTCATTTTCTTTTGTTTTATTTTTGTTGCAACACATGATTACATTTTGTATAAGTTACATGACTAATTGTTGCAGTAATCGGAAATGTGAACTAGAAATATGGACAATCTTTTAAAAAATGCATATGAGGTTTTCTATATTCTCGAACATTTTTGCGAAGCACATAAAAACTCGTCAATAAAAAAAATGGAAGTCTAGCTTTTTTTAAGGGAATAATATGGGGTTAAAAGTTCCCCAGGCCACGAGTTCGTGTCCATTGATTGGATAAGATGTAAACATATAGGAAGTGTGCATGCTCTTGAGAAGTATGTGTCTGGTCTTATCATGAAACAAAGGGGGGGGGGGGTAATATTTTAGCTATCTGGTAAATAGCAAAACCGCAAATTAAACAGTAACATCTGATTGAGTGTACCACAAGTCCACAATGACAGGAAACGGATGGGCTAGCTCATAAAAAATGATTCCGGATTCGTTAATGTCCACGTGTAAGACTTT